GATTAGTTACCCATGTTCATGTAAACGTATTTAAATATATGGTATCAAAATTGAACTCTGAGGCTTTTTGCTTGTAACACAAGCAATTTGAAAGCTGCTTTGTATGGGTCTGAGTGACATGAAGCTCCCTCTGTACTGCGGAGCTGATCCCTCCCTCTAGTTCAGACGGGGAACATGAAGGGATCATTATTGACTCTAGGACACGGTCAGCAGCAGCATGGATAATAGCCTACCTACTGAGGCTAGTTTAAGATTCCTCAGAGGCAGCTGCTGGTGAGACCACAGCGAAGGAGAAATAGTTAAGTGACACATCTGTCACGAAGCACAGAGGGAATCAGCACCTCCCGCAGATGCAAAGAACCATCTGCAACCTCTTCTGCCGCAGCCTAGTCCAGAGGGGCATCATGTCACTGGGTTTAGAACTCCTGCACTTGTGCATAGGAGGTGGCACAAAAACATCAGTCAAGTGGAGGGTGCACGCCTTGACTCTCCCTGTCCCTTTTGTACGCTGTACAGGGGCTGGTGAGCAGGAGGTTGACAGTTGCCTAAGGCGATAGGGGGAGAATTGTAATGCGGATCCCTTTTGTTTTGTTTTTCCTGGTGAGTTGTGATGGCGGGATAGGTATATAAATAAATATATAAATAAGCGACACAGCTGCTATTTACAGATATGTTCTTCCCCTAGTGTGCGCAACAGACACATTCAGTGGAAATCCCACATTTCCTCAACCAAAACGTTTGTGGAGGATTGAAAGATTGGAGTCGGACGTAAAGTGTGTAGCTATACTGCCTCCCTGTGGACGGTTCGTGAAAAGAAAAGAAAATCACCACCGTCACAATCACACTTGAATGTTTCATGATGTATTACCTATGGCAACAAAAGGTGAGCGGCGGAGGTGTTTAGATAGATAGATGCACAGAGCACAGAATGAAAAAAAAAAAGGATTTCAAAAAGTTTTCTGTGAAACAAACTGAGCAGAGAGGCCTGACCTCAACCATCCAACACCTTTGGGATGAATTGAAAATGCAGACTGTGAGCCTTGTCACCCATCTGGGCCCGACTTTACTAATGTCCTTGGAGCCATGCAGGGATATAAAGATAACTAGAGTACAAGTAAAATGATTTGTGTAAAAAGTAGGTCATACATAGACTTATTAAACTAAAGAAAGTATTAATGGTTAATAAAGTGCATTAACATGGCCTGGTGCCCTTATGGCCAAACCAATGATATATATATATTTTCTCACTTTGCAACCTGTGCATCCACAAATACATCAAGTACAGCCTAAAGAGGGCGGAACCCAGACTATTACATGAAAAACATGATGGGCAACAAATGTAAAAATAAATTTAAAAAACATCCCATCACTGCACTGAATATAGTTGCATACCAGCCTTATGTGGGAGTGGACGATGCCATCATCTACCTGCTGCAGCGAGCTCAGTCGCACCTGGGTGGAACCGGTGGCTCTGTGAGAATCACTTTCTTTGATTTCTCCAGTACATTTAACACCATCCAACCAGTGCTGCTGAGTGAGAAGCTGCGGGTGGTGGGGGTTAACGCGTCCACCGTCTCCTGGATCACTGACTACCTCACAGGCAGACCACAGTTCGGCTGGGCAGTGTGCTGACTGATACGGTGGTCAGTGATACTGGAGCCCCATAGGGAACTGTTCTGTCTCCCTCACCTTGTACACCACTGACTTCCAGTACAACTCGGGGTCAGGCCATCGTTAGCAACAAAGACGTGTGGCTGAAGTCCTTGGTGGTCAGCTCCTGGTAGTGGCAGGTTAGCAGGCAGTTGGAGGGTGCCAGATTTAGGAGCTTGACCAAAAGCTGAGTTGGCCAGACTCCCACCTTCGCTGGAAACAATATTGCTCATCCACAACTGCCAGGAGAACTAATGAGAATGTTCCCTTCTAGTTGAAGAACTGAGATCCGGAATTAGCAGGGGCTTTGAGGACAACATGCTTTCCATCCAGTGCTCCACAGCAGAGAGGAAAATTCCACCGCTCCTCAAACTGCACAGCAATAGACCGCCACTCCTCTGTGGTGGGCACAGCCATGAACTCCTCCACAAGGCAGTCCCAGATAGCTGTGGCAACATCTGGGACAATACTGGAGACAGTGGAGACCCCAACACAGAAGCTGTTTGCAATGGTCCTAAAGGAGTCACCAGTAGCAAGATATCTGCAGCACAGAAAAAACTTTCAATTTAACAGTTATATTGAAGATACTGTAGCTGCTAATAGAAGTAGTTTTTTATTGATATGACTGCACAGCTGCTATCATGAATAATAAACATCTTAAATGCTGGTGATTTTACATAAAAAGTTACATAGTATGTGTAAAGCAACACAGAGCACAGGTTGCACAGTGCATCTCAGTGCACACACACACATCACACATGTGTGTGTTATTGTACTCACTTGTCTAAAGGCCTTCCTGCAGGTCTTGTGCATCGGGATGTCCTCCACAATCTGCTCCAACATGAACTGCTCTCGTTCAGTCTCAATCCATGATACACTCGGCCTCTCTGTCCCTCTGCGCCCCTCAAAATCATATACACGTATACAGTATATGCTTGTGAGTCTGGGCTTTGATCCCTGCGACAGCTCAACATGCTCACAAACAGACATCAAAGTGTTCTTTGAATACTTCTTTGAATGGGATGGGCAGTGAGTCCAAGCCTACTCACTGTAAGTCACAGTTAGTAGCAGCATTGAGCGTGAGTTACTGTAACACTTAATAGCTAAGTGGAATGTGACAATTACAATGTCCCAGTCCTCTTCCTGAGATAAAGGGGACCTGATTATTACAATTTTGTGAGACTTTCTATTACTCTACTTACACCCACCTGGACCAGCTGCGAAATTAACAAGCTGCTTATATATTAATTCATTTATAATTTAACAATCTGAGTGGCAATTTTTATTCTTAATGCACAAAACAGGCTATCTCATTTTACTTGTTATGCTAACGGAGATTGACGGCCCCCTTTTACCTTTAAAGGATCTGACTAATACTTGTCTGGCAAAAAGCCCAAAATGTAAACTAGAGCGTGCGTGGGCCTTAAAACAGCTGCATGAGAACTATATGTTTATCCTTGCCATTGCTCATCTTTTGCAACCCAAAGAGAAGGTGCACATTTATGTTGCCTCTGTCTATTACAGGCGTCGGCTCGGGTTAGCGCTTCCATCTGTCAGGACATCAGGGTCATCAAATCCACAAAACCTCGGATGTCAGCCGTTAGCACTAAAAGGTGCCAATCAGTGAAAAGGGGGCCAAGAAAGGAGGGAAATACTTTTGCATAAATCAATACGTAATGGCGCTGCCAATAGATGATTGTGATCGGTCTGCATCATCGTCTTTTTCAAGGCTTTGAAGTGGCAGGCAGGGGCAAAGAAAAGACAGGCTTGTGATGGTGAAATAAGAACTAGATAATGAAATAATTAGTCAAAGTGTAATCAGATGTGCATCTGTTTTTACAACTCCTTAATGCAGTAACTGAGACATGTGCTGGTATACGAGCTACATCACGGAGGAAAAATAATGAAATTATCCATCAGAAGAGGTTATTACATTATCAGACAGTTAATTACATTAACATATTTTATCACATTTTGCTCTTGTAGAGGGACTATAAAACTGACACATAATTGCTTTATGTAACACACACACACACACACACACTCACACTTTCATACAATAAATGGCCAAATAATCTCACTCATCTGTACCAGGAGGGCATCTGAAAACATCTGAGGCCTGAAGGATTTGACTTATCTGCAGTAAGTTAATTTACTTGATCTTGTGTTACTGCGGAACAGAGGGGAATAAAAATACCAGCAGAAATAAATCCACCAGGCAAGGTTTACTGCTCTTCAAACACCCACACTACGTGTTGGACTGGTTTTATGGTCGGCAATTTGTTAACAAAATGCCCAATACCAATTAATCTTTAAGCATACAGAACTAATTATAAAAACAAGATTATACACAAAGAGTGGGTTATTGCTGACTTTAAGAAAACAAGTGGCAGTATGTGCACATACACATGTATTTGTATCAAGTTTATTGCTGAAGAAATAAAAATAATTGCAAAGTTTAGGATTGTTCTCATGATTGAGAAGCCTGCAGTGAAAGCATCTTGGAGTCTGGATTTTAGATAGTCGTAAACTATCGTCTACATTTTATTATCTTTTATGTTTCCATCTACATCTACAAAATGTTTAATAGTGGCAAACAGTGGTTTAAATGTACAACGGAGACAAAATGGCTCCAAAGCTTTGAACAAAGGCCGCTTGGTGTGTTTTGCCACGTGAGGTAAAACCCTTAACCTAACAACCATCTGTAAATCGCTCTTCTAATTTCCTCCTAGTTGTCTCGCGTGAAAATGTGCCTTGATTGATCGAGTCAATTACAGGGAGGCTTATTTCAAAGGAGCGGCAGGGGTTGTGTTGCTATTGCTCTCAAGTAAGCAGTCAATGGATGTCATAGATTACTTTAGGCCCCTATTAGACCGACTGCAATTTGTATCGCCTAATAAAGGTTAAGACTAACTTAGACATAAATCACTGTAGCTACTACAGAAATCCCTTTATCTAGCTTAAATAGGAAGGAAGAGCAAATAAAAAAATCTGATTACAAACCAAACAATGTTAGTGTTTGAAGGAGAGATAGTGTATGATGATCATTGTTTCTTGTTTCAAACTGCCTCAAGAAAACATAATTAATGGCAAACATGATGCCAACCTTCCATTACTCAAGTGTTGAGTGACAGAGAGCGACTTACAGATGTGAGATTTAATATATTACCGGGCAGCCTATTAGCATACATTCGCCACTTCCCTAAAGCTGCGACGTAAGGTTGAATTGCATTACAGGACTTTTGTGCCTCTAAACCACCACTAAGACAGATTCCTCCAAAACAGACAATTAGTATGTTAATGAAAATAATCACTTCATAATTAAAACACCTTGTTTTGAGAGAGCCCACTTGACTGTGCATGTTTTATTTGTACATTACTGCTGAGACATACAGGGTACGGTGTTACATTCAAGGCACAGCCCAATACCTCCAAACAATTACATTTTTACATATGCCACAAAATCTGGAATGAAAATAATTATACTGTGTAAACTTCTTCAAAAGCAGTAGATCAACAAAACTTGTACCAAACAGGCAAGTCAACTTTTTTTACTTATATACTGTACACTAATATGGAATGCGCATTTACAAGAAAAAGGAAATAGCCAACCAACAATATGTATATTTGGAAAATATCCTCATTGAAGACATACTGTAATACAAAAGGTTGTCACAGACATCTTTTTACGTGCACGTAAACTCAAACTTCTCTTAAACCTGTGTTTAAGAGAAACAGTATATCAGCGGCTCGGGTATGAATGGCTCGCATATTCTGAGGTACAAAGTGACGATGCTGCTGATCCATTCTGGTGTGAACGCTTGAGTAGCAAATAATGCAGCTTCTAAATATTCATTATGAAGCACCAGTATCTTTAAAATAAATTCCCTGCTCTTCAAATCTTAATTTCATCTTCACATAACACAACGCACAAGCTGATTAACAAGAAACTAAACAGTTTTGAACTTAGTCCTCCTCTTTGACTTAATTTGTCAAAATGAAAAACAACTGCACAACTATGTTTAAACTTCTATCAATTTGTTTTGTCATTTCTGTCCATTTTGGGAAGATGGGGATTAAATCACAAAGCATGGTTAAAAATTCCACCAAAAAAAAAGAAACTTTAATATAGTAAACCGACTAACAAAGAGCTTCAGTTTATACTAAATTACAAAATGGTTTACTTTGTGTTTTGCCTTTAATATGTGCGTTAAGAAAAGAGTAGACATACAATAAGGGAAGGATAAATTAAATAAATTCTCCACAAATATGCAGCTGCATTTGACAATGAAATGGGCATCAAAACATCTTTTACCCATCTTCAGCCCACCACCACGAAAATAATGAAGTTCTCAGACGATAGTGCTACATTGGAACTGCACATACCCTCAACACAAACAAAAGCTTTGGTAAAGTGGCAACAAATGGAAAGGAAGCAATTTTTATCTCCACCTCCAGTGTTTGTTAGTGGATAAACCTGTCGGTTACATTCACTGAAAACTTACAGAAAATCTATGCTGGCAACAGAAAACAAGGCATGGTCAACGGTCCTCAGGCGACAAACTTGTTCTTGGTTGAGGAGCTGCTCTTTGTGGCCGTGTCTGCGTGCGACTGGTATCCGATGATCACTTTCTGCGGAACGCCTAATCTCTCTTTATACACGCGCCTAAAAAAAAAAGAAAACATTGCATTTTAGCAAATACATACAGAAAAACATTTCAGACTCCAACATGCATATCCATCGCTAATGTTATCACTGCGTCTAGTTTACTGAGGGAGTCCAATAATGACGAATCAACCATCTTTTGCCCCAGAGGTCTGAAAAGCTGAAACATGACACAGGTTTTCTGTTAATATACCGCTGTATTAAAGTACAAGAAAAAATAACCGAACAACCTTTTAACATGTACAGAAAAAGGGCTGCAACACATTTGGGCTATACAGGTGGATATCGTCTTTACTATAACTGAATGCAATGTGGATGTTCTATTTGTCATCCATTAGCGTGGCATCTTCAGGTCACCCTATGTGTGTGATGGCATCTTTGTTTTCGTAGTCTGTGGTCCATATCGCTATTTTATCTCCTTTGGCTCGGACGTTAATGACGGCGCCGCACACGTCGTCGCTGTGGTCATCGAACGCTTCACCCACAAGACACAGGAGCTGGAGGAACAACAGATTCTTTTCAAAATGCCTCGTTATTGGGGAGCAGTTAGAAACCGACGGGCCTTTTCAAAGCAGACATTTTGACTTGTCACAGTAGGAGAAGCGCAGGTGGTACTAACAACATAAACAACGGCTCCGCTCTATTCAAGTGTCCCGGTAAGCCGTGACCGTGTGACAGGGAGCCAGCATGCACAACACAAGGACCCTGAAACCAAAGCAGCAAAATGGAATTGATTCATTCTATTGTTCACACCTGTGCTTCTCCTGCTGTGATGTGACTAAATGTCTTCCCTGAAAAAAGGCCTAAAGAAACACCTAAAGATATAGTTGTATACTAGTTAAAGTAACCAATAAAATCGACAGGACTGAACATACCGTCTCCAACCAGAAGCGATCCAGGTCTGCTCTACGCTGCTGCTTTGACAGAGTTATCAGCCAGCGGCCACCTCGTCGATTCTGTCCATCCTCCCACATGGGCTCAATCCCATCCTTCATCCGCACAAAAGGTCAGAGGTCACACCACTATAAATATCCCCACACATCCATAATGAACAACGGCTTTAATCCATCAGTTTCTCTTCAGATCAGGAGAGGAGCAAACAGCATACATCCCATCACCACTAATTAGATTAGTTGTGTTTCATTGTTGTTCCTCTCGGCATAAATTACTAAAGTTACTAAACTTTTGTCTGTTTGGAGAAATAATTTCCAGAAAAGAACAAACTTTTATGAATTAAAACTGTTAATTATTCTTTTTTTTGTTGTATATTGTAATTGCAACTTAAGAGGGGCAACCCTCAATTATGTGCGAAAACCAAAAGAAGCCCCGGATAAAGCTATTAGGTAATGTGCACTTTACTTTTCTACACCACACTGTAGCTCAAGAAGCCACTTTTCTATCCTCCGTTTCTAACCGTCTGATATTATTTATGACAGATGAGAGCCGTTTCAGTCTTGAGCGATGCTAATTAACCAACTCTTTCCTCATCAGCTCTTTGTGGTCATCAGAGAAGATGAAGTGCAGCTATTAACTGACTAGTGATGGAGGGTCAAAGTCAGCCAAACTAATGAATGAATCACACATCAGGCCTTGTGACTTCATGTTGGACACGCTTGGCTCCTTTATAATAAGACAGCATGTGCTCCGAGTGGACCACAATTAAAACACACCAAAAGAACATTGTTTTTCTATTTTGTTCTGAACTAGCGATGCACCGATTGAAATTTTCCTGACTGATTCAGATTTTCAGATGTAATTAAAAGCAAGGCTTCCGCCTGACGTTTTTCACCACCGGCCCGAAAAATAATTTAAACTGTCCCGAAGTCAGCGTTGACACTCCAAATTCCAAAAGGTTATCCTTTAACTTTGTCATACTGGTTATTTGCCACAATTAAATGAATGATTGTATTTCTATTTAAATATTAGCTTTGATTATTAATAGTTCTAATGATAGATTATAAACTGCTTAGAGATAGTGTTAGGAAACTAAACGGGTCATAATCTCTCTCCAATGTCTATTTTATATTGGTATGAAAACATCTCCTTCAAATAACTGCATTTGTTCAAGTTTCTCTCAAGATAACATTTGAACACATCATGATGATATAATTTACCTTCACCCAATACTCCAAGTAGAGCTTGAACGCATCATAATGCAACCTTTGTTAACGTTAGCTGCGTTATTTGCAAAACTCTGCTATGGAGAGACGCTGTGCTGTCAGCAGCAAGCCAGTCACTGTGATTACTCAGAGTAGCACGCATGGGAATGATTAAGTTGGCTGCACCAGTTGTTTTTACGCTTGTTCTTTAACGCCTTATTTTGAACTTGCAGTTGGGACAAATTACAAGCTTTGTGTGTTCTTTGATCATGCTGACGAACTTCCACAAGTGTGGTTGTGATGTTAACGTCTCTCTCACAAGCAAAAACAAATATGAGACTGATCGGGCGGTCACCGGTCATTGCCGATCACTGTAAACTGGCCGGTTTCGATCAGCTGCCGATCATTCGGCGCATCTCTACTCTAAGCAAGTGTTTACAGAATAAACACGAACATCTGTTCACAGTGGAAGCTAAGGAAACAAACCGCTTTAAATGGATAGAATGTAAAATATAATACAAGACAGCGATAAAAGCTTGCTTACCTTAAACAGCGAGTAGTCACAGCCAGACATCAAGTTACTCGAGAGCTGAATGTGATTGTATAATCTGGAAATGTGAATTGTAATGTCACGCAACACCCAACAACTGACAAATCCCGTTTTACATCATATAGACCGGCAGGAACAAACTAGATCGACGCCTCACGGCACGAACGGAAAGTGAACTCTCATACATTATGCCTCCTCCAATTATATTTTCCCCTCCAAAATGGTGAAAATAATTTTATTATGCACTCACATGTATATACAGCAATAATATACTTACGCCCAGAAGTCTTCCACAGTGTCAAATTTGGATATGAGGCGGAGGTTGGCTTGCCATGTTTTGCTTTTGTCGTTCTTGAAAAACCAAAGAGCCCACCTGCAAATCAAAAGAAGAGTTCGTACCAACTAGCTGCGTGTTTTCCCTCACTGACAACTTATTTCACTGGAAGAGATTCACACATTTCCGATAAAGCTATTGCACACAATATTGAGATGAGATATACTTGCTTGAGTCTGTTGTGAAAGAGGAAAAGAAGGGACTCGAGGTGAGGTCTTACTTGTTTTGTAGTGGATGCTTGATGTAGGATTCAGGACTCGGAACTTTTTGAATGATTGTTTCACAGTTTTCCTTTTCAGGATTAGCAGGAACTGAAGTTAACTAGGAAACAAAAAAAAGTACAAAAGAAGCATTAAAAAAACACTTCTAAAGAAAGTGTCTCATGTGCCATCTGTGATGACCGCTACTGGCACCGTTACGTTTGTAATTATTTAACTTGTGTGTAGTTTTATAGTCATATATTGGAACTTTTTAAAAATGTATTGTTGTGGTCATAGCTGTGATACTTTCACAGTGTAGAAGGGATGTCTGTGAGAGCGGATAGTAGACTGGGGGTATTTATAGAGTACGAGTAGAGGAATGAATAAGGAGAAGAGGACACAGCAACCCTTGACAGTAATGTCATCTTTTCCTCTTTTTACAGCTAGTCTGTTTTACATATTGTATTTCTGCACTACTTCTGTGTATTTACATTTGGCCCTTCAGACAAAAACCATGTTCTTTAGATAATAAAGAAGTGATGTTTTAACCCTTGTCCAGCAGACTAATATTAAACATTTTTGCCATCCAACAACCAGCCATGCTCAGTCCTAGGTTCATAATACTCGGGTAGACTTCACGTTAACTCAAAATGAACTTTACTTTTACTTGGAAGACGTCTTCCCAGAATGTCGCATTTCTTGCAAGTTCACAGTTTCAGTTTGTATGATAGATGTTCCAGAGCTGTAACGTTACTTTAGCAAAAACTAATTCTTAGTCACGTGCTATTTTGTTCACATTGCCCATGACTAACGTTGCGCTAGCTGGCTGTTCCCAGTAACGCGTGCGTCCTCTCATTCATTCATTCATTCATTCATCAGAGCATCAGAGTACCGACCGAGTTATGCACCCGGTCAACACGGTGTTTTAACCGTTAAACCGTTAACGTCTAACGTTACAGCCCGACAGTCCCCCTCGTTTTATCACTGGGGCTTTAATACTGCATTAAAAAAAGCATAGCTTCTTCAGTTGAAGTGAATTAACCTGAGCTACAAGTGTGCAGTGCACTCACCACCAGAGCGGTCGCCATCTTCTGGAAGTCACATTCGGATTTTTTGGCGTGTGTTAAAATACCTGATTGGGCCATCTGGTACTCTGCATGACGCATGCGCAAGAAGAAGGGACACAAGTACATGTTTATTCAGGCTGTGTGTGAGTGACACGATCATCTTCTTCCAGTTATTATTAATAATATGCATGGGTGGATTATAAATTATAAGTTATAACAGATCCAATAAATTAAACTATTTTAGTGAAGATTTGTGCAATTGATGTACTTCAAGTAATATTATAGTTAGTGTATGTGTGACCATCACCCTTTCTTTTGTGGCATAGAAAAGAGTCTTTCAGTCACATTGCTGATGGCGATGTCAATGAGTTGCTTGTTATCTTGGTGACCCAGACTAAAGTCTGAAAGATCATCTCAATAGACACGAAACATCCCCTCAAACAGCAAAGGTCTCTTCTTTATGGTAAAAAAGAATGGAGGATACATAATTAAAAGTCATATTTTGGCATGTTCATAATTGTAGAACAGCGTGTCTTGAATTGCACATATACTACGTTATGTATGTTGGAGGCCAGCTAGGAGCGCAGGCAGCATAAAGAATTATTTGGAAATGAGATGCAATATGATTGTTCTGAATTTTGGGATTATATTGCAAGATAAAAGTAAACCCAAGGGCCATTCTAAGTCTGTATACCACCCCTGCTGACCCATGTTATAGGCCTAGTATATTGTGCCCATAAATAATATACACATATTCAGCAATGTGCAGGCTTAGTGGAAACATTCCCTGATAAACCATGTTTTTGTGTTTGTGATAAACAGTCATGAGGTAAGTTGTGTGATTACAACTATCTTTTACTCACGATGAAGCTTGTGATCCCATCAGTGATGGTATGCTATCTTCGACTGTGATGACTAAAAGTCAATTTAAGTATCTTATATTTCGTATTTAAGGATTTATTCAAAATAGTTTAACTGGAATATTTGTTATTCCTTTATATTGCATTTTGTAAAACATATGTGTATATGTGTTATGTGTATATTTTAATGTGATATTCAGGGTCTGATAAGTATTTTCTGGGTAAACACAACGAGTATAAAGGCACGAATGTGGTACTGTACACTGCAACTGTTATGTAATTAAATGCTTTTTTCCTGCTATGAACTCTTGGAGCAGAGAAGAAGTAAAGTGGGCTGAAAGAGACTCATTGACTGTTCTTAGTGAGAGCAGCAGCCACATGCCTTTATGTATAAATGTTATGTTCTCTTATAAAACATCACATCAGACAGCAAATGAGCCACAGAAGGAAAAGCAGAAAATAAATTCAATTTCAAAAAAATGTTGTGACACTTATTGTTTCAAACATGCATTCTGCTGTTAATAAAAATGATGTTCGAATGCTGAAAGTTATGACATCAAAACAAGTGCAGAGAAATACATCAAGTGCTGCAACTGTGGAAGGAGATCGTTAAAAGGCCAGACGTGAAGGTCAAGGTTTTAGGCACTTCAGAAGGTCAGCACTGTGCGGATACTGCAATGAGACATAAACAACAGAATTAACAGAACAGCAGAAAACAGAAAAAGACAAAAGGGCTTTGTAAACAAAGAAAACTAGATAATTATTCACTGACAGCATAAGTGAAATGTTCTCACCTCTTTCCGGCATGCATGAGGTCAAATGCCTCATTGATCTTCTCAAAGGGCAGGGTGTGGGTCACAAACTCGTCCACCTTCAGCTTCTTATTCATGTAGTCCTCCACCAGTTTGGGAACGCTCTCCACACTCTTCCACCCTGGGGGTGAATAATCAAAACCAGTTAAATAACTCACATTTTCCTGAATAAAACTCATGTTTGCCAAAAGGCTTTGGGCAAGGCACCTATTCCCCACCTAAAAACGATATAAATAGCTGCTTAAACTTAATTTGGTACAACAAACAAATGTTCCATAACCACCTCAAGGCAAATTAAATACCACTACAAACACAGACATTTTCATAAGGAAGCAATTTTCTATCTTTCAGATCAATTATCAAATGGTAAGTTAAGCTCTATTTTAAACTCGGCTTAAAAAAAACTTTTGCCAAATACAGTTGATGCTAAAAAAAAATGCAGAATTATCCATAGTTGAAACAGGCTTTAAACTCAGAGAAAGTTGGAACCGCAGCCAGAACACATTACGCCCAGCAAGTAATCATCTAACACAGTCAGTTACCTCCGAAGGCTGTGCCCCTCCACACTCGGCCCGTCACCAGCTGGAATGGTCTGGTCGAGATCTCCTGCCCAGCTCCGGCTACGCCGATGATGACACTTTCGCCCCATCCTTTATGGCATGCCTCCAGAGCAGCTCTCTAAAATAATAAAAAAATGCTAATTGTCCTAATTTCTATGAATTGCCAAGTTACGAAAACTGTTTTGCATGCTGCACGCCATGTATATATTATCTGCACTGTGAATATCCACCAAACAATCGATATGACAAATGAAAACAGTGAATTAATAAAAATGTTTCATGTGTGTATGTTTAAAGGGTCTCACCATGATTTGCACATTGCCAATGCACTCAAAAGAATAGTCCACACCCCCGTCAGTCATCTCCACCAGAACCTCCTGGATGGGCTTGCTGTGGTCCTTCGGGTTCACAAACTCGGTGGCTCCAAACTCCTTCGCTTTCTCAAACTTTGCGGCGTTGAGGTCCACGCCAATGATCCTCGTTGCCCCAGCAACCTTGCAGCCCATAATAACAGCCAAGCCGACAGCTCCGAGGCCAAATACAGCGCATGTGGAACCTGGCTCAACCTGAGCATGCGTGAGCAAGAATAGCAATGTGAGACTTCAAGTATGACTGAATAATTTTGCATAAAACAAACGTACTGTATGAGGGAACTTTAGAGTTGTGTCAGGCGGTGAAGTAGAGATGCATTTTATATTGCACTACAGTGGAACGTCTGTTTTTATCTGATGCAAGCATCATAGCAGATTGTATCATATCTGTAAAGATACCAATAAATGTTTTTGTTTAATTTCTAATTAATTGTAACATAAAAGAAATATTGTTTTGGGGGTGAAACTAATGTCACCGCGAAAAGATGAAGAAAAAAACAACAGCAACTTGGAAACAGACACCCGTGGCAACAATTCCTTTTCACATCAGATCTGCATGATTAATAAGGGTGACCCACTTCAGAGTGACGCTGACAAACAATGACAAAATATTCATCTCCTTTCATTGTATCCTTTGGGCGACACTTTGCGACAAACTTATTCTGCTTAACGAGCTTCAAACCATAACACTTTAGAAATAAACTCATCTTTTACAAATCAACGTTCTCTCACATCAAGCAGTTCTGCGTGTGTGTGTGAGGGAGTGTGTGTGGGGGAGAGGGAGGGTTGTACTTTGTGATGTGTCTGGGTCAGATATGTGACCAAAAATAAATATATTTTTATTTCATGTCTGGCCCATCTACGTCTCCCGGTTTTAGAATCTAGCACAGTTGCATTTGTAATGGAATAGCTCTGGTCTACAGCCTGCGATGCTCACCTTGGCAGTGTTCAGAGCAGCACCGTACCCTGTGGAAATGCCACATCCAAGCAGGCACACTTTATCCAGTGGAGCCTTCTCGTTCACCTTGGCCAGAGAGATGTCGGCCACCACGGTGTACTCGGAGAAGGTGCTGGTCCCCATGAAGTGAAACACTTGCTTTCCCTTGCAAGTGAAGCGTGAGGTGTTGTCAGGCAGCAGGCCCTTGCCCTGGGTTACTCTGCAGGGTGAAAACACAGGGAAAAGATTTATTTTCATGCATGTGTGATGAAACCCGATGGCTCTGCACTTCAATACACGGCAGGCTCAAACTAATGATGACTGAGCTTTGATTTGGTTGCCCTGGGGTGGGGCACCTGGGGCTTTGAGATCAACCATTGAGGTTGAAAGTT